TCTCGCATTTTAAACTGCTCCTGATAGATCTAAAATAAAATAATTAGGCCGATCGTAATAAAAGACACATTGTAAAAAAACTAACGCCAAAATAACAAAAAGTATATAACGCCAGATCTAGCGTTAACATCAACTCGAGTTGAGCAAATATAACACTAAATATAAAGGCCGATCTGCCGTTATATTATAACGCCAATATAACGGCACTTCGAAGTGCCGTTATATTGGCGTTATATTGAGAAAAAATAAACTAACGGTTGAAGCGTTATAATTGCTGTTATATTTATTTTACTAATCCAACATTAATAAACATAATATTGAAAAAAAATTAGAATGTTTGGAAATAATAATTATGTTTATATGATATTGATCATTTACAGTCATTTTGAAAAGATATACCATTACCATTGCTAATAGATGGTGATGCCGCTAAAAAATGCAAAATATAAAACATAGTTATCAAACGACATCTTAAAAATTAAAATATATAATAGCCTTATGAAAAGGTCTTTTACAATCATTTTGAAAAGATATAACTTTACCATTGCTTTTAAGTTTGGATGTACCTTAGGAATACGAAATAAAAATAATAATAAACATATAACCTCTTTAACAATTAATATAATCATTTTGAAAAAATACAACCTTACCAAGGTTACCAGATGTCAATATCATTAAAGACTACAAAACGAAAAAATACTAAATGCTGTTGCCCCTAAATACTACAAAATAAACAATAACTTAAAAAAACATCTTCTTTTACTAAGTCATTATTAACTATTTTGAAAAGATACAAACTTACCATTGCTACCAGATGCCATTAAAGACTAGAAAATGCAATAGATAAAAAGAAAAAAAACATCTTTAGAACGTCATTTATAATGAATTAAAAAAGATATAATCTGTAAGATTATCATAGGAAAAACAAAGTACATAAAATAATTTGATTGGTTATATACAGCTATTTCGAAAAGATACTTTAGAACGTTACCATTGCTACCAGATGTTGATGTCACTAACAAATACAAAAACAAAAAGAAAACAAGCAGACAACTCCTTCAAAATATATGGAAAATATACTTGTAGTTAAAAGATGCTTGTGACATTACCACTGGAACCAGATGCGTATGCGTCGATGCGTATTAAGTCTATATACTTGAAGATACATATAAACTATTTAGCACAATAAATAAGCATTAACTATAAACTAACAAGAATCAGAAAAAATTTATTAAACTTTTATAACTAGGATATATCTTTTATGGCTTCTTTTCTAAAGTATCTAATGATTACGTAGCTTTAGCATTTTTTAGTCATCTATAATCTATAACATCTATAATCATCTATAATAATCTATAAATAGCAACACAAAAAAATATTAAACAAAAAGCATTAAAATAGGTTAGTTACAATAAATATATATTTCAAATATAGCTTTAAAATATAAATACATACATGTATGTATTTGTTAATAAATGTATGTAAGTTTTTAATCAGTGCACTGGTCAAAAACTTAAACCGATGAATTTAAAAAGAAATATGTTAAAATGAAGAAAACCTTTCATTAAAATCCATGCAAAATTTAAGGTATTAACCAAAAAAATAAATTTCAAAACTCAAAATTTCAAAACAAATAAAGTCCACGCCTTAATCCTGCACTGAAAAATTTTCTGTTATATTGTATGTATGTATGTATGTGTAGTAAAATATAAACGTATGATACTATAAAAAAAATGTTATACTTAAGTAATGAAAGTAAAATATAATATATCAAAGAAAATTCAAGAGTTTTGAGTTAAAGTTTTTAAAGCACGTTGTGCGCGGCCACCATTTCTGTCCGGAGCTTGCATTAGCCACCTTTTTATGCACTTCTCAACATCTGCATTACTTCCTCTTTTTTCATGCTTTTGAACTGCAACTGTTAAATTTTTAACAAGATATATGGGATCAACTTAATTACCATAAAATAAATGAACATTATTGTACTTACTATATACTATGCCAGGAATTTTTTTTAACTTTCCAAAGGCGTGTTTATTTTTGTATTTATCACTCCAATTCATTTTTAGTGCTAGTTCATGACATACTAGCTGATTCATTATGTTATATGTAATTGATTTCAAATTGCTCCCACCAATTACACCAAGCAACCTTGACTAATATAATATTTATATAACTACAGATATATATATATATATATATATATATATATATATATATATATATATATATATATATATATATATATATATATATATATATATATATATTTGGAAATAGATTATTAAAAATAAACTTTTGAAGCTTACCAAACCAACAGAAGAACTCATTTCAACTAATATTATCAAATCCTGCCAATTTTGAACAGGCAATGTGACAGGTAAATCTTCAATTGAAGACTCATTTGTACAGCTTTCTAACCTCATAAGAATAGTTTTTAATATCTTTTCATTGGATTTCTGCCTGTTTTCCATCACAACGAGCTTTTCTAAAATCTTAT